TTGAGGCCGCGAGGCGTATGCCGGAACAAGTTGAGAGTCGTGTTCCCATCGCAATGGCAGACTAGCAAGAAAGCTTCCACCTGGTTTAGGTCTTGGGGTATGGGGTTTAGGATGGTTTAGGGTTTATGGCTCCGGGTGCCCATGTAGAAATTGTTGAGGCTCCTCCTTTGCGTTGCGCCATATTCAGCCGTTGTCAAAAATCCAAAATGGTAGTTTCCATGTATTAGGGAACCCCAATATAGACCCCAAAATACCATAATCCTTACACTGGGACCCCAAAATGGCAGCCCTAATTTCAGGATACTCCCACTTTCAACAGCGCAGAAATGGCAAAGACGAGGCAAACCGTTTCTTGTCAACGTATTCCTTCATGGTACTGAGCCTCAGCAGCATTCGTGTAAATAGCTGCCGTGATGGGTTGTGCTACTTCTTGTACAAATGATGTTTGCATTTCGTTGTGTGAGGGGTATACGAGCCAAGTTTGTTGTAGCGTTTTGATCAGTGTATGCAGCAGGCAAGGAATTGGAGGAGATTTGTGGTGGGATTTCCGGATCATGTTCCCTGGTGGGGCTCCTCATAATGACGAGAACATAATTTCCATTGTTGTAGGGATAGATGCCCTGTTGCCACGCTTGCGGTCAATGCTTGATACCGAGACCATTTGCTGCCGCCCAGGCATGGAGAAACCATGGGAGGGCGAATCAGCTTACTATTATTACTACTACTATTATTATTACTATTACTCTTATTATTATTACTATTAGTACTAGTATCCCATGATCTGCACCCCTCCAGAGGGCAGGGAAGTGTCAGCATATCCACACATCAGCACGTTGTGCTCCGTACAACGAAAGTGTAACGGCATGGCTCATCTCCAGTATGATTTGTTCCAACCTTCGCAAGTGCAAGCCCCGTACCCTAGGAAAGTTGTGGGATACCTTCTGCTACTCCTGGCCGTGAACCATGTGACTGCGTACCTTGACTCCTTCAGCCTTAGGGTGATCAGCATGCTGAGGGTCAAGAAGCTGAGGGTGTGGGGTTTGGGGTTTCTGGTCTAGCTTGAGGATGGAAAGAGGCTAAGCTTTAGTGACTAGTCCTGTCAAATCTAGGTAGGAGTCAAGCAGGGCAACCAGCACAGCCGTTTTGCTAAGGTCACAAAGATGCCACTTCCGCAAAAAAGATATTTGGTCGGAATTTATTCCCTCATTGGAAAGCCTTTTACACTATAATCAGGCACCCGGCATTTTCGTGTCCTTAACAAAGGGACACTAATTTTGCAGTTTCCACGCATAGAGCGCCCAAGTAGGAACCCCAATTATAGAGACTCCCAAGACGGGCCCTTCATTGCTTCAAACGCAAATCCCCATAGACCACTCTATCATCCAGTTTCGATTGCATTTTCCATTTTTGTTTCTATAGTTTACATGCCTCCCTTATTCAGACCAGTAATTACCTGAGCTGAGACTAGCTAAGCCAGGTGTTGCTGGTACGGTGTGGGCGTCATGAGTGGCGAGAGGAATTGGATGAAGCGCCTGGAGATCGAGCAGCCCAGCTAGAGGAACCGTAAAGGGCGCACGATTATTTGTTCTGGGGAGCCAGGCGGAGGTGGTAGCCTTGAATATGTTGAAGTTGGGTGCTGATGCTAGTTGGCTTCTGTTCTTGAGACTACAAGAATCCAAGCTTTCTACAAGTTGTGGGACTTAGCAGGCGTGCGCTCATGGTTGAGGCAAAGGGTTTGCCGATCTACCCTCTCAAGTCACGTTCAGGTCTTTTGCGACATAGTCCTGCGATTGGGTGAGATTGCACGCCTTGCAGCTTCCAAAGAAGGGCAGAGTAGGCACTAGCTGTCGTGCTCGCCCTGTTAAACTCTATTGTATTGTTTGTGTAGCTATGGAACTCGAGGAGCGGACTCTGCCACTGCCCAAGTTTATCGTTCAGGTCTCGCAAAGGTGATGTTCGGTACAGACACACACAAACCAAACCTCATGCTCCCGCGCAGTTTCGCTTTGGAAACTCAAGCTTCGACCATCTCTAAGTTTGAACCCCAAAGCCAGAGACATCAGTCCTACATTATGGTTGAGACATGAAGCACACAAATGCCCTACCAGTCTACAAATCAGCATCCCTTGCCTCGGTGTTCAAGCTGTATAGTTTGGGACTACCCTGCGGGGCCCCCTTCCTCGCTTGCGTTCTCTTCATCAAAAACTTGCAGTCCAGGCAGTCGAACTTCCTCGACTCCTATGCATCCTGGCCATGCCTATTTACTTTTGAGTGTCAGGGAGCTGTCAGCCGAGGTAGGAATAATAATGGAGGTCATGACAGTGATGTTAGTGGCTCTACTGGAATGATGATGTGATTAGATCACATGATGGACTTCTTGCATAAGCTAGTGAGCATAGAGCTTGGAGCGCTTAAACATCTAGGCCCCCTTAAGTAGATAGAATATGGTGTATACTATAGGGGATTATCGAAACGAAAATGGAAACTACTGTATTATAATAGGGTATATATTGGGGTTACAGTCCCCCTTAAGTAGATAGAATATGGCTGTGGGAATCTTATACTAAGATCCGCATATACGGGACTATACTTAACTAGACGTCTCACCAGCTCAGCAAGTCGACCCACACTTCAGACCCTGGTAGGTCCACTACCTGGATTTGTCCGCGTGGACAAACTTTTTGGGCCATTTTTGCCCCAAAATTCTCCTTTTTGTAGCCATCCTCGGACGCAGCTTGTGTAAGTGACAACTTTCCCGACATTGACATGCATCCAAGGTCTAGGTTTAGGACGCTAAGGGGTGTTTTAGACTTAGCCTGGGGTGGTTCCAGGCCATCAAGCAAGTCGAAGTCATGGGCTGCGAACGGCCCCTGTGGGCCGGCAAGTCCATAGCCGCCATGAGGCCACGCTGCCTCTACAGAACGACCCGCCCGTGTTTTTTCCGAGAACGCGGTTTGGTTTCGGATAGGCCTTCCCTCAGGGCTGCTCTTGCTGCCGGCCTTGACGGGGCACGTTGGAGTCGCCATGTCTGAGGCTCAGGTTGATTGCCGCTGTGGCGAACCGGTGCCGTCCAGACAGCACCTCGCATGGAGATCAGCAAGAGCATGCCGTTGCACTTCCTGATCCCGCCAGTGGAGCATAGCTCTGATTGCTTGTGCCTTGTGTTCCGCTGTCAGTGGACCTGGAACAGCGTCACCTTGAAGCTGACGCCAGGCGTCTTTCTAATCACTTGTTTCATTGGTCGCGCCCCTGTTGTGCTGGCCACGGATGATACCTGCAAAAGCCGTATAAGCACCCTGTACACCGCGCGGCCTGGAGCGAGGGGTGGCTTCACCTGCGCTAGTGCGCTCCCAGGTCTTGACCAGCTACACGAATCTGGCTGCCCAGACCTCAAGGGAAACAGGTATCCCTGTACACTGTACACCTCGTTACTGATTGCGTGATGTTCGTCCGTCTTGCAATCAAAACCCGCCTGGGCTTTCCGCCGCCCGTGTGGGCGGGACGCAGTGTGGCCTCTTTTGGGAGCTGCGTCCGCATCCTTGATGCCCAATCTTGGGAATTAGGAAGCAGCCCCTGTGGAGGCATGAACTGCTTGACACAACCTTGGTCAGAGATCCCAATGACAAAGAAGAACAGCCAGCAATCGGAGCGTGTGAAAACAGGCTGGCTCGACCCAGCTATGTCACTTTGCTTCAATCAGCACAAACAGCACAGGTTTGGGTGGGCACGGCTTTGCGCAGCCATCGCCATGTGAGTGAGGCGTTTAGGATGTCTCTGTCCGCCAACCCCATAGTGTGAAAAGGGTGCCCGAGTGCTGCCTCTAGCCATCTCCGGCCGCAGGTTAGTGGCAAGCGACCCATGTTGTTTGACTTGGCAGCGACAAGTGACGTAATGTTGCGCATCCGAGGTTTCCGCTATGCACTGGGCGCTAACGCAGTTCACACCTTCCACCAACAACATTGCGCCGGACGGCTGGGCTTGGGAAAGGGTAGCAAGAATATGGTGACAGCAGTGGCATTGGTGAGTGCCTAGTGGGTTGTTTTGTGGTAGGAATAACCCTAGCGCGCCAAGGTATCTTTGCAAAAACATGGTGCTTGCTCTGGATATTAAAGGAGGTGTGGGTGGAATGCACGGGGTTTCGTTGGTGACAGGAAAGGTGCCAAACAAAAGCCCGGGATTCCTTGCCAGAGGGCTGATGAAGCACGAGACTTTCATATCCCAACTTTCCAGTGCAACCACTTGCACGCCCGTGAAACTACCCAAGCTTCGGTACCCCCAGATCCCCCGCCCCTTGTGCACTCCAAGAAGAGGACAATGGTTTGGAGCGATTCTTCGCCATTTGGGTGATCCTGTTGGCCATGGGCACAGCGGCTACAATTAGCCTCAGGTCTGGGCCGTGTGGAGGCTTTTGTGACTTTCCAACTACGGTACTTGCATTCTCGAAATCTGTTCTTCGGCCTTCTGTTGAAGCCTTCGTTTTGAGTTTTGATTCTGGTTGTGTAGCAGCTGTAGTTCAATGCTGAGCGATTATATTGCAGGTTCTCATATAGGAGTTCTTGCTTTGGAGGGTTCTTCCTCCATCGCATGCGTTGCGTCTTACCAACTGTGCGATGGCTATGCTTCTCGTTTTGAGGGACCCAAGGCCAAGTCCAGCAGCATCCATCGTAAACGAGCACTTTTGTCTTTTGAAGGCCTTCTCAACAGAAAGATGTAACATGATTTATATGCTGTGGCCCCACTGCGAATCGAAGGAACATTTTTGTTGCAAGACAATGTACTCGGGATGGAAGGGCAGGAGCTACCCTCTATGCAGGCCTATGTGCCCACTATTAACCCCAATGAGGGATACTGGGAGGGTCTTGGTACAGTACCCCAATATAACCCCAATATAACCTTAATATTACCCCAATATAACCCTAATATATATCCCTAATATTACCCCCTCATATTACCCCAATAACCCCAAGATAACCCTATGTCTTGGTAGATTTTGAACTCAGGCGTCTTCTCCTCGTTCATTGCCTCAATCAGCTCAACTGTGAACTCCATGCGCCTGGCACGCGCGGAAGAGATCAAACAGAAGGTGTGGAGTGGATGGAAGTCTTATAGGGTTATATATAGGCATAATGGAAAAGAAAATGGAAACTACCATATTATAATAGGGTTTAGAGGCCTAAATTGAGCCTGAAAGGCCCCAGAATCCTTTGAAGCTCCATTGCGAAGCCTCATTGTGTCTCATGCTTGAAGTTGTTGCAATTTAAGGCCCAAAGTCCAACTGAGCGATGTATCCATCAGCATGAGTTGTAGGGCGTTGGAGCGAGCCGATCCAGCTCCAAGCCAAGCTGGGAGTGCTTCAGATCCCATTGGAAGCAACAAGATTGTGCCGCAGGCGGAGCTCAGGCAGTTCTTCATGGACCGATGCCTGTCAGCAAAAGCTTGCAAGGTGCAGGAGGCTAGCAGAGCAAGCCATGGGCCTTTACTCCGGCCTTTCTCTTCGCTGGGAAGGAGCATTACCTAAACTAGGTTGGATATCTGCAGCCCGAGGGGCACACCGAAAATCACCACAATCAAGCTCGAAGCTTTGTTAGCTCAGGAAATCTCTCCGTCGAACTCTTTGGCATCATGGCTGTTAGCTTTTCGGAAGACTCACTGTGCTTCTGATACTAGCAAGGGTGGCGGGCGGTGCGTCCCGGGCGTTGGAAGCTGTTCGTGGATTTGCAAATCTTGGTTCGCAAGTCGAACCCGAATCCGGCGCCACATGACCCAGATGCAAGTTCTACTGGTTCATACCCGCAGCACAACCTTCCAAACTGAGTGAAGAGATCCAATATGAACCCTATAATCCCTATATAACCCCAATAGAATCCCTGTAGTTTCCATTTTTTCCATTATCCATATATATATCCCCAATATATACAGACACCAACCTTGGAGCAACAAAAACAGAAACCCTAAACTCTAAACCCTTTGTCTCCTTGAGGCAAAGTCCAGAGCGTTCTTGCCAAGGAGGGGCTCTTCGAGGTCCGACTCTGTGCTGCGCATTTTTGCTCATGGATATAGGGATTCTGTAGGGTTATCTAGGGATTATATAGGGGTTGTAGAGGGTTGTATAGGGTTCTATAGGGTTATGTAGGGGTTATGTAGGAGATATATAGGGGTTATATGGGCATCAGCCAGTTTTGTTGTTGTGTTTCCTAATTGAGCCATGGGCATCTTGCAGATTATGCAGGTCACTGCACTCCCAGATGCGCCCACAGAGGGAGTTTCCAGAAGGTAAAGGCCCCTTTGTTGGCATGTACTCAGTGCTAGAATATATCTACAGGTTCCGTGCATATCTCTGTGGAACTCGAAAACGTAGTTATCCCGATAGAATTCCACATAACCGTATGGCATGCCATATATCCCCCCTCTCTCTGTGTAGATATGTATATATGTATATATCTACACATACATGTATTTATTCCTTTTTTCCCAAGCTCTCTGAGGAAAGCTGGAAAATCAGGTGCAACTCGTGAAGACAATCCCTGAAAGCCTCTTTGCTTAAGGGGTTTTTGGGTTTAGGGCTTCTGGGGTTTTAGGGTTTAGGACGCTGGGGGTTTTGGGGGTCCTGTGTTTTCAGGGTTGGGGCCTTCTGGGGTTGTAGGAGGTAAGGGTTCAGGGGTTCCACGGCTTTAGGGTGGATGATTGGGGTCAGCAGTTTTTCCTGACAATGGCACAGGCGGGCCGGGGGCATGAAATTGGAGTAGACTGAATTGAACAATGGGTTCCAAGCTGATGGCCCTAACTGCACCTTATCGTGTGGGCTCCTAAATGTTGACCCCAGGCTCTTGTTGTCGTGCATGGGCCAATTCCTTGCTAGATTGGGCTGGTAAAATGAGAAGCCACAGTCACATCAATTCACTAAACTGTCTGAGTTGTTCGTTATGTCGAGGCATTTGCATTGTGACATGTGGTTGAGAGAGTTGCTTGACCTTGAAGTCCGCTGATTCTACGCTACCTTCTGCTCGTGAACAGTTCTACTTTGAGGCAATGCCTTGGCTATGCGTCTGAGCGCGGTGCGGCATCCAAGGATTCAAGGTGCAACTGCACCGGGAGATGTTCCTGAATTCACTGGCAAAGGTGGGCATTTGGCCGAAGCAGCTTGCCCAGATTGTGACGTGACTCCGGCAAGGCTTTTGCTGGAGATTTGCAGATTTGTTTAAGTGAAAGGCTGCGCTCATCGTTGCTTTTGTACTTCTTTTGGACTGAGCTGATACCCTGTGATTTACGATTCCACTCCCCTTTTTTTGTTGGGCCGATGGCGAACCACCTACGGGTGGAGCCACAAAGCCCTAAACCCTAAACCAGGTGGAGCCACAAAGAGGACACGCAGTTCCTCCTCACCGTTTGCCACCACGGAATGAAGGCCAAGCTCCCAATTGAGTAGTATTTTATTTGGGGATACTATGGTACCCATTATAGAGTAAGATTATATCCTCCTTTTGGGGTATAGTATTTTATATAAGGATGATAATCTTACTGGGTTCAACCACCAAAACAATTTGTGAGTTTCTACCAGGGGTATGTGGGTATGTCTCACAATAGTCCCTATATGATTCCAGTTAGGGAACCTCATCACCCCTCTATATATTCATACATATTATATACACGTATTTCTAAGGTTTGTGGGGCCCACCTGTTTTGTGACATTTCTATGTAGAGATTTGCCAGCCCCATATACCTCTGTTTTAAGATGGCCTCTGCACCTTACCGCTGCCAGCCTCTTCGGGATTGCAAGACTCTATATATAGATCCGCCACCGCCCCACCCACACCTAGCAGTGAGAGTAAGAGGAGAGTGAGAAGCGAGGTGAAATTAACAAATCAATTAATTAAATCTGTAATTTCGGAAGCTTAAGACTCTGGAGTTTGTGTCCACTATTCCAGGGGGTTGTGTATGCAAGTGAAGAGAGATCCTCTCGGACAGGGTCAAGAGGGGTAGCTCAGTAAGCAAGGACGCATGAACAGTAGCTTGAAAAATCAAATTATTATTGAGTAAACTGGATTTTAGAATCAGCTCTCGTATTCTGATTTTAGGTTCCGCAAAGCCATTGAGCCCCGGAAATAAGTTCTAAAACAAATGACTCGGGTGCCTGTGTTTTTGATTCTAGGGGGCCAAGTCTGGCCCCTGAAACGCCTCATATCATGGCGGTGTTGTTTAACCAAATAAGCATGGATTTGGCTGTGCCCTAAAGGTAGAGTCCTCTGCCTGGCAAGGAGCACGTCTCCATGCTGGGTCAGGATGTCTTCATGCCTGGGCGGGATTGCCTTGAGGCTGTGGATGGACGGGCTTCAGAAAACCTCTGTGTGTGTGTGTGTGTGTGTTTACTTGCCCTTTTTCCAGGGCGGGCATTAAGGATGCAGTGATGGTTCTTGTGACTATAGGCATTCCCAAACTGGATACACATCTGGCATTAATAAATCAAGAAGGAAGACACCAGGGGCAGACAGGCATTGGTTTGTTCAAGGAGAGGTGGGACGAAGTGTGTTCGGACACGGGATTTCAGGCTTTGGAGAGTACTGGGCGGAGATTGAAGGCACTTGAGCCCGTAAACTTCATGCCGAGAAGCCAGACATATCCACCTGAGCAAGGGAATCTGCAGTGAGAACACCCTTGCAGGACAGGGCTTATGTGTAGTCATGCCCCAAATCCTGAAACCGAAGCACATGCCCCGTTGAAGTCGATACAAATTCTCAGGGGGCTCACAGCACCAACCTCTGGATCGCACTCTCGCTACTTTCAAGCCTGCTGGCGCGATCATCATCCTTCCCTTGCTCGTTATCAACATGCCAACGGTTCCAATCTTGCGATGCTGTTATGCATCAAGTTCTCAGGCGCAGTAGGCCCATCACTTTGTAACAAGACCCCCCCACCGCTCTAAAATGGTGCACGCTGCCATTATCAGGTTTAGTTCTGGTTCTTACATGGAAGTCTCAATGATTGGTGGAGGCTGGTTCAAGGATTCACGATGACAAAGTGCAGGAATGGTAGGCATGAAGAGACTGTTATGTTCATAGCAGTGCTGATCGCAGGAGTTTTGTAAGACAACGCTACCCAGAAGAAAAAAAGCAGGATTGCAACCAATCCTTGAAACCTAGCCTCCAACTTGAATCCCCGAGCCTGATGTGAGCTCCAGTCTAAACTCCTTAAACGGGGTTATGTAGGGGATTAGGATACTAGGAGTTCAGACTATAACTCATGTAGAGGGCTAACCAATTTCATGCCCCGACAATCCTTGTACAACTACAATACACTATACGGCGAAGCAGTATTCTAATATCGAAGCCCCCCCCCACGTACAATTCCTGAACGAACCCCTATGTGACCTCAGTTTCCATGCCATTGTCCTTTTGCTTTTTCCATTTGATGATCCGCTCTTCCTGTTCTTGAAATTTATAACCCTTGAAACCCTGTGCAAGGTGTACATTCTCGACAGCGGCTCCTTAGAGTATTTGCCAAGCGGACAGATGCCGGCGTCTTGGTTCTACTTTGGCATGCGGCTTAGGGTTCGGGATTTCGCGTGGCAGTTGTAATTACTGACATTCTGGGTGAGACCTGGCTTTAACCCAAAATGTGATAATATTATATGGACAGTTACCCCAACAGGGGCTGCTTTTGGATAGGAGAATGAGTCTAATATTGCTAAGAACGAACAATCAGCACAGTTTAATCAGAACAAAGAAGGCTTCTGACTCTCGGGCAAATGAAGGGCCTTGGGCTACTAAGGGATGGAGGCACTACTTGATGAGGAGCAGGATGCCAAATGTTGCATGATTAAGGGCCCGTTAAAAAAGCTCAAAAAGGTACAAGTATAGGAATGTCTAGAGCATCGTCTTCACAGATCTCCATGCGCAATGCAGGTGGAGTGCAGTTCGAGCTCGGACACAGAGGCGGCAGCTAGTCCTTCACTTTCATTTCCGCAGGTTAGGGGTGCCTTTGAGGGGGGAAGGTACCTGGAAAACCTGAGGGCCGCGCTTAGGTAGCGTTTGGGTAGCATGAGGCGGCATAGGAGGCGGCCTCATCTTGTCAGCATACAGTTGGGGTGCTGAGGATGCCTTGGATTTGAAACAGCTATTCTGGGGGGGCTGCTGAGGGTGGATGCGTAGGATAGTAAGTATGAAGACCACTATGCCTCTATGAGGACCAATGGCACCTCCCAACTCCTCTCATCGCACCGGCCCAGACCTGCCCTCCTCATAGGTGGGGTTTAGGGTTTAGGGTTTAGGTACCATTTTGGGGGGTCCTAATTATACGAACTATAGTACATAGGTATCTATATTGGGGTCTCCCATGCCCCCCCCTTATTTATAGAAGCTACCAGGTCTTGTGCTTACCGGCTCTTTGGGCAGAGTGGGCGCACCGCGGAAGGCTGACTGCCAATTTCGGTCTTTGCCACCAGGCCGCAAAGAGAATGCGACATTCACATGAGTTGTTCTCACAATTATGGGCCCCGTTTTGCTATAGGTTATATTACGGCACCTAATATTTCGGGGTACCAAAATGGGAGCCTAAATTTTGGGACTGCCCACACATCGCTTGGCCGCACCATGGGCATACGTCGGATCTTGGAGCATAGCTCTGTTAGGCTCTGCCTTTGATCTTCACGCGTACTCCTCATACTAAGTTTCTTGCTTCAATGCCTCTGCATGGGTGCACTGGGCTTCCTTCTGAGTAGAGGTAGTGAGGCGGCTTTGCTGACAGAGGAGCTGTCTGTCCAAGCATGTAGCGCGGGTCGGTCCAAGTTCTAGGTGTTATCACTTTGTGTTGGTTTTACCTGCTGAGGCTTTCCCAAGGTTAGGAGCTCTAGATGCACCCACACCTAAGCCATAAGTCCTCTGTGGCCAGTTAGCTCTCGCCCGGCTTCTATGCGGTAGTCTCCCAAAATAGGGAAACCCCACTATCGACCGCAAGATACGATAATCCTTATCATAGGGACGCCCACAAAGCTTCCCCTAATTTTTCGGGGGGGAAATTCCCCATGTGGTAGTTTCCCAAAATCAGGGAACCCCAATTTTTACCCCAAAATACTATAGTCCTTATTATGGGGACCCCCAATATGGCACCCCTGATTTTGGGAATTCCCCATGTCATGTAGCTCCCGGACTCCCCCAGGCTACTACAACGGCATCGACTGCGCGCAGCTGCTCCGCTGAAATCTGTTTGCCTTCAGAACCAGGCACCACCAGAGGATGAGACTGCGGTCAGAAAATATTCATATCAATAAACCAGTACAGAAAATTACAATTAGTCATAGTAGTAATGATAATCATAATGATAGCAGAGTTTTGCCATACCGTTATGAGTTATGAGTTCATAGAATCTGCCAGAATTTGATTGTAGGGCAGTTCAGGCAAACACTGTCAAGTAAGCATTTGAAGGTTTTAAAGCTGCGGGCTCGACCGAGGGTCTCGAGGCTCATCTTGAGCCATGGGCTCTGTCGCTGATCTCTTTCCCGACTAACACTTGCTGATTGTTAGTTCCTAATTGGGGAGCAAAAGAAGTGGAAATGTACACCAATATAATATTGAGTATGATGTATAGGGGCTACTACAAGCATCCATTTCTCCATTCTCTACCGACAGACAGCAAGTGCACAGCAATCGTTGATGGAGATCAGCTGTAAGCCGCGAAGCCAATCCGGCGAGGCGTTCGCAGAATGGCTTTCCAGATAGGAGCTAGAAACTCCGCCGCCCAACAAGCGATACCTCAAACTTGCTGGTTGCTGCGGAGTGAAGGAATGGACAAGGACATGGAAACTGTTCAGTTATTGCGGACAATGCAGGGGCTACTATCGGGATCCTGTCTCCCATTCCCACTAACAGGTAGCAAGGGAATAGCGGAATACATCAATGCATATAATCCCCATATAATCCCTGTATAATATATTCCCATATTTCGTACTAACCTCCAGAAAGAAAACCTTGAAGAGAAGGCCAGCTGCGCAATGGCTAAGGTTCTGCTCATTGGCTACAAGCTTTGGGGGTGCTCTTTGTCACTACCTCAAGCTCCTTGGCAAGTTGTGATGGCTTGGTTTAGGGTTTAGGTTTAGGGTTTAGGCCAAAAGTAGGTAAGATAATGGCCCAAAACCATTTGATCGAGTCTCAAGACCATTATTCTACATACTTTTTACGGATCCAGGTAAGGGGTTCTGCTAGGATGGTTACTGGAGCGGAGTTTACCGCTGCCATAGTCTTGAAGTCTTGGACATGAAGTTGGAAAGTAGCCGATACAATGTCGGGAGGGTTATGCGGTATTATTGTCGTTCTTACCAAAAACGTTATGCTACTGCTACTGCTAGGATTAATACTTTGTCATGTTGTCATTGCTATGGCTAGCATATTTGTTTTTATCCTGAGTAGGTACTGGGGACCATTCTTGGCTGTCTTCCGAGAAACCCTGCTTGGCACTTCGAATCCCCTGTAACTTGTATGTGACCTGGCCAAATCAAATCAATTTCGTTCGATCTCACCCAAGATGGTGGTGAATGCAGATAACCTTAAACCCGAAAGATTGTGATATATGCAAATTACCTAAAGCCCTAAACCCCCAAAGATAGCTTGTTCAAGCCTTTGGAGACTTTGGAGGTTTTAAAGTTAGCCTTCTAAGATGGCAGTGTTCCTGCCTGAGCAAAACCGCTCGGTCTTTGAAGAGTGACAGGACTTCCGCAAAGGTTGCGGCTCACCTTTTGGGGTCCTTCAACTCAAGTGTGTGTGTGTGTGTGTGTTTTGGTGAGTTTCGGGGTCTCTAGTTTGGAGACAAACCCTCAACCCTAAAACCGTAAACCCCGAAACCCTAAACCCCCAAACCCCTAAAACCCTAAACCCAAAACCCCTAAAACCCTAAAACCCAAAACCCCTAAACCCCTAAACCCTAAACCCCTGACATGGACTCCAGGATCGTTGGCATCCTCTTGGTGGGAGCTATCGAGGCGTTGGATGACGAGGTCACCAGCAATGGATAGAATTTTGTCCGTAGATGACTTGGGATTTAGGGATTAGAGGAGCTTTTGTCCATAGATGGAGGATTGGGGCTCAGGGTTGAGAGTGTAGAGTTTGGGTGACTTGAGTATATGTGCATCACGCACAGAATGGGGCGGCAGCAGCTGCAGTGCTTTGAATAGCTGTGAGAGGCAGTGGCGTGCAGAGAATATGGCCCATCTGTGTCACAGAGCTGGATCAGCGAGCGCTTATGATTGTGCATAGGACTTGTTTTGAGGTGTGATTCGGGGTTTGCCTCTTTTTTTGTGGATGTCTGAATCCTATGTAAGAGCAAAAGACGGCATCTTGATCAGATGGGACTTAGCTAAGCTGAATCATTTTTTGCACATTTCCGGGCAGCTTGTCATTTCCAAGGCATAGGGCCCCCTCCAAGTCAAACTGGGCAGGGAAGCAAACCTAGAGTTCCATCTGCTGCGCCTTACAACTTTGCAACTTGGAATTGGGTTGTGGACCCTAAACCCTGCACATTGGATCCTGCCCCCACCCAGCAACGGCTTGATGATATAAAATATCACAGTCATATATAGCCCTTAATGTTACTCCTATTATAGGCTGTTATTGGGGGGGTCAGCACCCAACCTAAAACTAAGAGTACATTGGCCCGCGCATGGGCCTGGCAGGCAATCCATGTGACGGACGTGTCCGTTTCGCAGCAGGTTCCTCTTGGCAGCTTCTTGTCCATCACTGTGGTCAGCCGAGTTTTTGGAAGACGGTACTTGCTTCAGACTTTCCATATACAGGAAGTGCTGCTGTGCGATACCACTGTTGGTGCTAAGTGGGTTTTGAAGGATTTTGGGGAAGTCGAGAGGAGGGCGGCTTTGTGGGGAAGGAAGATGGAGCGGATAGATGCCCTGGAGCAGGCCTACCTTCGTAGCACATACTCTTCCCATAAACTTTTTTCGCAGAAAAAAAGATCATTTTATCCCTTTTATGGGCTCTCTACAATTTGGGCAGGGTCTGCGTTTTTCGGAGGCTTGCATGAACCCCAGCTCATCTGTGAAGCAGACAGAACAAGGCCGGGAGATATCATTCCAAGGCACCTATAGTTCCCCTCAAGTAGATAGAATATTGGAGTCATATTGGGTTATATAGGGATAATGGAAAAGAAAATGGAAACTACTATGTAGGGTTTAGGGTTTAGGACTCCCGTCTCTTAGAGACCTGTCCAGAGTTTGATATTTCGGGTCGGGCTTGTATCTGGCAACTAGCAGAACTTGTTCACTGGCAAAACCTTCTGTGCCTTCGCCGGCACGAAGCGACTCTTCCATGCAGACCCTCTGCCCAGACCCTCCTATGTAGTTGATTTTTTGGGGTAGTATAATATAATCCCTTACCAAAAATCCATGGCAAACCCTAAACCCTTAAACCCTTAACCCAAAAGAGGCGTGCAATAAGCAAAACACTAAACCCAAAAAGGAACTACATACGAGCCCTTGCGTAGCTCCATCCTGGCAGACACTGAACATGAAGATCATGCAACCCAACCATGCCTACAGCACGGCCTTTAAAGGGCTGCTAAGCAGGACACAAGTTTTGACACCTACCCAACATGGGGGGTTTCCCAAATTACGGGTACCATCTTGGGTGTCCTCATAATAAGGGCCATCGTATTTTGGGATCTATATTTATGTCCCCTTATTGTGGGCACCTACTATGTATTCCTTCGAGGCCTTGTGCACCGCGCGACGCAATTTGCCTCAATACAGACGACAGCTACAGCGCCTGGTCTTTCTGTAGCATGCGGCCAAGAGTAGGAACAGCACAGGTAGCAGTTGACATTGTACAGCAACACATAGCGCAAACATTGTGATGATCAATAACAGTGAGACCCACAGTCATGAGAGTACCATGGGTGTTCACCTAGACTCCAACCCCTAAACCCTAACCCCTAAACCCCTAACCCTTAGACCCTAAACCCGTAAACTCTAAACCCCATGCTCTTCCCTCTGTATACTTTCAGCGCCGACCGATCTGTAAAAAACCGGAATCCTACGGCTACCGCACTCCTAAGATGCCTGAAGCCCGAACCCCAAGCTTGCTGGTTGTAAGGGTTGTTGTATAGGGATAATGGAAAAGAACATGGAAACTACTATAGTATATAGGGGTAAAATGGGGGATAACGGACAAAAAATGGATGCTACCATAGGTTCCAGGGCAGTGGAAACTGGATGCTACTATAGGTTTCAGGGTAATGGAAAAGAAAGTTGATGCTACTATAGGTTTCAGTGGAATGGAAAAACCAATGCTACTATAGGTTTCAGGTTAGGTTTGTTAGTAGTGCATAAGGGGAAGGCGGGAAGGACAAGAACATGTCAACAAACATGTTTGCTGGGAATTATCCGGGAATTTCCCGAAGCAATCCTCACAGAAATCCCTACAAGGACCCGAAGCCCTCTTTATACTCCCCCTGCATATCCATAAGGTCCCCGAGGCCGCTTTACATTCAGAAACCCTTATGTGAGCCATTGTCTGAACTCCTGGTATCCCCCTTAATAACCCCTGTAGTAGTCCCCTATATTAAACTCCTTTAGAGGAGTTTAGATTATGGCTCATGTAGTGGCTTCTGGAGGTTTCCATCCCTGCATTCCCTTCTAGCAACCATTACGCGCCTAAGGATTAGGTCATAATGGAGAATCAAATGGAAAAGAAATATGAAATGAAATGCAACCTGGGATTATGTAGTGGTTAGAAAGGATTAGGGTGGTGGAGGTATAGGAGCTATAGTCTAAACTCCTTAAAGGGGTTATATAGGGGATTATATAGGAGACTACAGTAGGCCTTATTAAAGGGGGATACTAGGAGTTTAGACTATAGCCTACCCGGTATAGTCTATAGCTCATATGGGGGAAATCTATTATGGATTCCTGTAGGTCTATGGGGAACATCTAGCGGAAATCATGTTCCATAGTGGCCATGTGGGAACAGAATTCTTACTAGGGAATGTGGGAACATACTACTACTGGGACATAGGGATTATATGCCTTATTCCCTACTAATAACCACCAAGTTGGGGGGCTTCTGATCAACAACTACATACCGGAGGAATGCACCTCAATAGTGGAGACCCACATGGACAACGTAATGGAAACTTGGGCTACGTAGTGATGATTCATAGGGTTTGGTGTAGAGCCATCTCAGATGAAAGACCCTGAACTCTAAACCCGTAAATGCCAGAGGCGCTGAAGCAGCTCCAGTCTCCTTCCACTTTTACGAAGCTCCCTGAGAAGACGAAGTACCGACTTTGAAGCAGAGAGGTCATCCACTTTCTGATGGGGCCTACGGGCTTAGGGTTTAGGGCTTAGGGTCTAGGGCTTAGGGTTTAGGGCGTAGGGTTTAGGGTTTAGGGATCCGGGAATATGAGGCCCCAAGGTACACCCCAATTTATTGTAAGCCTGATTATAGGGACCCCCAAATAGTAGGGAACGCCATTTTTCGGAAGCTCCCATGTAGAGGATTCAGTTCGTCCGCTGAACAGTCTACTTGAACGACTGCCGGCATATTGTTGCACATGCACTCTTTGTTGCTTCTTGAAAATGGTAGCAGAATGTAAAGCCTTCGGGGTTGTTCTTGAACCCTTGCAAATCCCTGTGGAACCTCTACAGTCCCACCGCATCCTGGAAGTTCCATTGCAAGGGTGGCCCAGTTTCAAGAAGCAGGCTTTGGCGTGTAGCGTTTTAGTTTTGCTCTGAGTTTTAAGGCTACCGATGTGCCGGCCTCCGCCAAGCGGACACTGGCAGGTGAGCCGAGCAGCCAAGCTTTAATCCCGTCCCCTACAAAGTAGAACCCTGCCACATATCATCAATGCTCTCCTGACATAACTGTACTGGCTTGATTGTTGACCACGAGGGGTGAGGGTTTCATAGTTACAGGGGGGGATCAAGGTTTGCAATTCGGCACTTCATCACCCTTCACCTTGAGTGGGGCATAGCGCTGCATTGCACACTGATGGCGCTGGTTTGTCAGAGATAGTGACGGCCGTTGCGAGTGTGATCGAGCATCGCAAGATGCGACAAGTGAGCGCAGGCACGAGCAAGAAGACTGGCGAGCGCAAGTGTGAGCTGGGGGGGTTTAGTCTCTAAAGTCTTGGCGCGAAACAGAATACTAATGACTTGCCCTTGCGTTGCAGGGGTTGCATGCCATTTACTCACACTTGCTGCTATGCATTGATATCGCCATCGCGCCGAGATCGAAACGATCTGCGGCGTGGTGGACCTATAGTTTTCTGCCGCTAGACAGATGCTAGTACGGAAAACATCTCGGCTTTGGCCTTCAGCCAGGAGAACTGGAAGAATAGTACTTTTGCAAGTTATTCCGTGGTAGGCCCATACATAGCTGAATGACGGTTGCGGTTGCTTTTCCTGTAACTCGTTCTATCCAAGGACGCCGGCGGACCTATCTGACTTATAGTCTAAGCTCCGTAACTGGGGATTGTATGTGGGATTATATGGTAGTTTCCCAAAATTAGGGGACCCCAATATAGACCCCAAGATACTATAATCCTTATTATGGGAATCCCCAAAACGGTACCCCTAATTTTGGGAAACCCCCATATAGGGGAGCATTATAGGGGTTAAGTGGGATACGAAGAGTTTAGCCTACAGCTCACCTAGAGCCAGAGCCCCCCAAAGCTTGAGCTTCCTCGGTGTGAAAGGCAGAGCTGCGCGCAAGACGCGAGGCAGCCCTGAAGGTGCTACAGGCCGGGACTTTAGGGTTTGGGGTTTAGGGTTTAGGGTTTAGGGGTTAGGGTTTAGAAGGTTAACCTTATTATTCTTATTTTCTCACCATTCTTACCATTATTGTTCTTATTATTTGTTCTTATTAATGTTGGGCCCTCTTTAATGAGTATGGGCCCCCCCCCCTCCCCCCATAAGAATAGGGCCCTCCGAAAAATGGAAATTAGGGATCCTCAATACGGCCCCCCTGAGCTCGCACG